ACTTTTGTGATCGGTGAAAACGTCCACATGGACCCCATATAGGTAATGTCTCCATATCTTCAAAGAAAGCACTACCGCCGCTAATTCTAAATCATGGGTCGGATAATTCTTTTCATGGATCTTGAGTTGCCTTGAAGCATAGACAATCACTTCACCATGTTGCATAAGGACACATCCCAAACCCACTCGAGAAGCATCACAATACACCACAAACCCATCGGTACCCTCCGGTAAGGTCAACACTAAAGTGGAACTAAGTCTATCTTTCAACTCTTGGAAGATTTTCTCATAAGCCTCTGACCACACAAACTTAGCTTTCTTTTGAATCAAGGCCGTCAACGGAGAAACAATGGAGGAAAATCCCTCAACAAACCTCCTATAGTAACCGGCCAAACCCAAAAAGCTTATAATATCGGTAGGTGTTAGAGGTTTAGGCCAACCTTTGACCACATCCGTCTTCTTAGGATCCACCTCAATACCCTTGCTCGACAAAATATGACCAAGGAAGACTGTAGACCTTAGCCAAAACTCATACTAACTAAACTTTGAAAACAATTGGTGGTCTTTAAGAACTTGCAATACAATTCTCAAATGGTTCATGTGCTTATTTTCACTCCTTGAATAGATCAAATATTGTCAATAAACACTATCACAAATATATCAAAAAAGTGTAAACACTCTATTCATTAGGTCCATGAATGTCATTGGGGCATTTGTCAACCCAAATGACATAACCACAAATTCAAAGTGACCGTACCGGGTCCTAAAGGCCGTCTTGGGAATGTCAACCCCTCTTACCCTTAGTTGATAGTAACCCGAATGAAGATTTATTTTGGAGAAATAGTTAGCCCGTTGAAGTTGATCAAACAAGTCGTCAATTCTAGGAAGGGATACTTATTCTTTATAGACACCTTGTTCAATTGGAGGTAGTCAATACACATTCTAAGGGACCCATCCTTCTTTCTAACAAACAATATCGGAGTACCCAATGGATAGATACTTGGTTGAATAAAACCTTTGTCTAACAAATCCTTGAGTTGCTCTTTCAACTCAGCCGGAGCCATTTTATAAGGAGGAATAGAGATAGGTTGTGTATCCGACATGAGATCAATGCCAAAATCTATTTCCTGTTTGGGAGGAATGTCAGGCAAGTCATCGGGAAAGACTTTCGGAAACTCACTCACCACGGGGACCGACTCGAAGGAATGGGTTTTAGACTAAACATCCATAACTCTAACAATATGGTAAATACACCCCTTGGAGATCATTTTTCTAGCTTTGAGACAAGAAAAAAAATGACCTTTAGGGATAGAATTTCCCCTCTTCCACTCTAAAGTAGACTCATTTGGAATTCAGAACTTTACTACCTGAGTCCTACAATCAATAGAGGCACAACATGCATACAACCAATCCATACCCAAAATCACATCAAAATCTAACATGTCTAACTCTACTAAATCCACCAAGGTAACTTTATGGGACAAAGAAATAGGACAACTTCTATAAAATATTTTTGCCACTACCGGGGTAGACACCGAAAAAGGTTCTTCTAATACATCGAGGAGTATTTCAAATTTCATTGCCACAAAAGGTGTAACAAATGACAAAGTGGCACCGGGGTCTAACAATGCATATACATCAATGGAAAAGACTTGTAACAGACCAATCACAACATTCGGGGAGCTTTCTTGGTCACCTCGGGATTGAAGAGCATAAAAGTGGTTCTTGGGAGCATCAAAATTTGAACCACTAGGAGGGACTTGCTTGCCCTCTCTTCCTTGAGCCCTTAGCATGGGAAAATCTCTCTTCATATGGCCACTCTTCCCACAACGATAGCAAACATCTGTGCCAACTAGGCACTTGTCATCATGCTCTTTACCACACTTCGTACAATTAGGTCTATCAACATAAAAACCACCACTATTACCTCCTTGTGGCTTAGGGTTAGACACCCTATCTTTGTTGACCCTTCGAGTGCTAGAGGAGCCTTTGTTGGAAAACCTTCTCTTGAACATTGGTCTACCTTGACCCTCAAATTTACCCTTGGAAGAATTCTTTCATCGGTCCTTGCCTTCTTCACTTCCCTATTCACTTGCTTAAGCTTTTGTTCCTCAAATTATTCGGTATGAGCCATAAGAAGTGAGATATTCATACTTGGGATGACCATTGCCGAATGACATTCATTGACTACCAAGTCACATATCCCCATAACAAATTTGTTCATCTTGGCCCTAGAGTCCGCCACTAAGGTTGGAGTATACTTAGACAATTGGGTGAATTTAAGGGCATACTCTTTCACACTCAAACCCCCTGGTCTGAGATTTATGAACTCTTGCATCTTTCTTTCCCTCAACTCTAAGGGAAATAACTTATTAAGGAAGACTGACTTGGATAATTCCCAATCTACCAGACCTGCTCCAACGGGTCTTTCACCCTTCCATTGCTCATACCATACTTGATCTACATCCTTCAATTGGTAGGCGGCTAGTTCTGCCTTCTCTTGTGGAGACACTCCCATATCATCAAGCACCTTCAAGATCTTATCAACAAACCCTTGTAGGTCTTCCTCCACTTTGGAACCAAAGAACATAGGAGGGTTCATTCAAGTGAAATCCCTTATCCTTGAAGTGGTTGTACTCACATTGGGGTTCACATGAGTTCTAGCATCCCTATTGACTTGGGCTGTTACGGCTTGGGTCAATACTTGGAGAGCCGATCTTATTTCTACATTTCTCATTGCCCCCGCATCAATAGGAGCTTGAGGAACTTGAGGCTCTTGAGGACCTTGAGGAGGAAATCCCTCATTCACAATCTCCTCTTTCATCCTTCTTGCGGTCGCCTTTCTTGTATTCATATACTATAGACACAAGAAAAGGGTTAGGAAATGGACTTCATAAAGTTAAAACTCTAAGGCACGACTAAAGAGTAATGAAAGAAGTGACATTTCCTAAGCATCTTATAGCCTCTCATTCATAAGTGTGGCGCGCTTCATGCTCATGAAGAAGACTCTACTAGATGTGGTTAATGAGATATCATCCTAGAATCATTCTAAATCTTGTGCGCTGATTACCAAGTTTGTCACGACCCAAGGGTACCCACTAGATGTAACATGACGTACTTGACCCTGAAGGGGTCTCATATAAGCCCTTAGCATAATCATAAACATAAGTAATCGAAATGATGCAGAATTTAAACCTTTTACAATCGAAGTCCTTTCTTTAATATCCAAAAATAAGAGTCTAACATTGTCTCAAATAAGGTCATAGCTTTTTACAATAAAGTCTCTAAGTAGACCATATGAAAGGAAACTAGAAAGAATATCCCTTGTCCTTGAACCATGAGGACTCACCAAGGCAAGGAGAGAATCGATCCAAGCCTTCAACCAAAAAGAAGCAACCTCAACGACCTGGACCTATACTTATAGAAAAAGGTAGAAAATATGGGTTAGCACAAAAATGTACTAAGTATGGAAGCCATGCATAAAAATCCTTAAAACATGCTCAAAAGGGACATTTAGTTAGAATCATGCATTTATCAAGTTTAAAAGCCATTATGCACATTTGTGAAGAAACATAAGTCAAACCATATCATAAGCAACCCAAAGCTACACTTGTGCAATGCATAGGTAAGATCTCATAATACTACCTAAGACTAAGTATCACTTTTAGGTCACCAACATCATACATATCATACCTTGACCCCACAATTAGCCAACATTCATAAACAAGGAAGTATTCATATTCATACCTTGTAGCAAGCAATGCCATCCTTAATAATAATACATATCATACATGCATAATTCATATGTCTTCATAGCATAAGAGAACCTCAACACAACCACTCTTAAAAAAGTACTTGTGCAGTGCATAAATGGAGTCCCATACCCCCACTCATACTAACTAGTACCTCTTAAGAAGTCATAGTTATTGTTCATGTTCTTGTCATATTCATATTCTTATCATATAAGGAAATATAGCCTTAACCGACATAGACCATGTGAGCTACATGGAATCCAGTGTCTTACCCCTACACCGAAAAGAGGTGTCCTACTTGCCTAAAGTAGAACTAACATATTAGATTTTAGGTGGATCAACTAGCTAAAGACCTATGTGGGAATATAGTCATGGAATAGGGAGATTGCTACTAAAAACCCATACTACTAACGTGGAGGTTTCCATCTCATGAGATAACTATATGGGAACCCGGACTACTAGCGTGAAGGAACCCATCTCATACTCATATCCACTCAGTGCTAAGCATAATTTCCTTTAGATTCATATTAAGTCTTTACTTACGTTCATGTTAATGAAAGAATGTACTAGGAACTCAAACCAACATAGCATCATAATAGCTCAAAGATTCATTAGGTGAGAACGTCCTTTCAACCTTAGAATCATCAACATCTGAGTAAGCCTTTCAGATCATATTCATAGTGTGTTCATGAGAATAGCCTTTCATTCAACACAACAATACTATCATAGTCATAGACATTACATACATAGTCATTTGTAAGGGTATGGGGAGAATGATCTTGCAACCACACCATAATTACACAATAGTCATAGGATCTTCACTTTCTAAGTGAACCATAAGCTCATACACAATTCTTATCAACATGTACAAACCCACATAAAATGCCCTTCAAGGCCATGAATCAAACTCAACCCAAACATCTAGAATTTCTACATTAGATAGGGGAATATAATGATTCAATAACTCAATCAACATACACATAATCAATTGACATACTTCTTTAATCAATCATCCCACATCATGGATTCACAATTTAGAGTTTATGAGGGATTCATGGGTTCTTGGGGGGATTTTATCATAACTCATCAATTAATTGTCAATTGAACCATAAACCACCATAATCAACCATAAATAAACAATTGAAAATGTTTTTGAAAGAGGACCCACGACTTAGATTGAAACCCTAGGTTTTTTGGGGAAATTGAAAGCTTGAAATTAAGTTTTGAAGGGACTCTATATTGTTTTGCTTGCTAAGCAAAATCGAAGAAAACCCACAAAACCAGATCGGCGATCCACCGAAAAAGCAAGAAATCGATTGTAAATGGGTCAACAGAAGGCTTTGATCTATGCGTTTGTCGGTCGTGGGAATGTTATATTGGCTGAATACATAGATTTCAGTGGTAACTTCTACTCCATAGCTTATCAGTGTCTTCAGAAGCTGCCTGCTTCCAATAACAAGTTCACTTATAACTGTGATGGTCATACCTTCAACTACCTTGTTGATAATGGATTCACATACTGTGTGGTTGCTGAGGAGTCTGTTGGAAGACAAATTCCAATAACGCTTTTGGAGTGCATTAAGGATGATTTCATGTCAAAATATGGGAGTGGGAAGGCTGCGACAGCTCCTCCTAATAGCCTGAACAAGGAATTTGGCCCTAAGTTGAAGGAGCATATGCAGTATTGTGCTGAACATCCTGAGGAAATTAGCAAACTTGCCAAAGTGAAAGCACAGGTTTCAGAAGTTAAGGGTGTTATGATGGAAAACATTGAGAAAGTTCTTGATCGTGGAGAGAAGATAGAGCTTCTTGTTGATAAGACAAAGAACCTTCATCACCAGGCACAAGACTTCAGGAACACGGGAACCCAAATACGGAGGAAGATGTGGCTGCAAAACATGAAAATCGAGCTGATAGTGTTAGGTATCCTCATAGCTTTGATCCTCATCATTGTTCTCTCAGTTTGCAAGGGATTCAATTGTGGAAAGTGAGGATGTTTCTATTGTGATGCTATAGTTGTATGAAAAGCTTTGTCTTATATCAGCATTTACAATTCTGTGAGAATAGAGATGGTGTATGTTTCTGTATGTATTAGCCTACTCACTTTTTTTCTATTTGTTGGAGCAGAAAGGATCTGAGTTTTCTCTTCTTTATATTCTGGTCTAAATGTCGTGGTATATGACGCCGCCATTGAGAGGTCATTTTGTGTTGTTAATGATATGTTCCTTTTTATAAGAAAAAGACCTGCAATGCTAGAAACTCTTGTCAATGATATTCAATTTTTCATCCTAAAAAAAAAAAAGGGACTCTATGGGTGGAATCTACGCATAGATTAAAATCCACCATACCTTAGGAAGATTTCCACACGAAATTGAAGAAGAAAGGCTGCTCCTTAAACCCTAAGCTTGACCTTGTTCTTGTTCTTCAATGGAGTTTTAGAGAGAGAATATTTGGAGAGGGGAGTTGGTTATGAAATTTTAAGTAGTGGTTAATGATTTAGAAGTACATATATAATTTTATTAAAATTAATTAAAATGACCCTACATTAATAAAATAACTTTTGGAATTAATGGTCTTGACTTAGTCTTGGCCGAGATTGGGGGAGCATTGCAGGCCCTCATCCACGACCTCTACTGTGACGACCCTAAAAATTAACTAGTGAAACTAGAGCCTCACATGTGAGTTTGGAGTTGGGAACTTGATGAAGTGATGAGAAATGACCGTGACGTCCGGAAACTAGTCATTTGAACTAGTGAATTGTAAGGGTCAACTTTAAATGGTCATATCTTTTAGCCCAAAATGAATTAGGTGGACCTTTACCTATCCAATTAAAGGTCTTTGAGTCCTCTTTCCAACGCCACCGAGTTTGCCCAATTCCGACCTTGGAGTAAAAAGTTATGCCCGAAATATTGAAGCACTGTCAGGCTGAAAAAAAAAGGGCGAACTAAGACGGGAAGGAGTAGAATTTTTTAAGTTAAGAATTTATGGGTCCTTAGTCCTTTTCCAAAATTGACCCTATGTTATTTTATTCTTTTCCTAACAACTATAAGACCTTTTTATGACTTAATTCCTTTCATTTAAGTCACTCCTCTTAGAATTAAAAAGAAACCCATCTCCTTTCATATATTTCTCTCTAACTCAAGGAAGAAGAGGAGTTGGAGCTAGGATTGAAGATTTCGAGTGCTTCTTCTTCAATTTTCGTGGGTTTTCAACTTAGAGGTATGGGGATCCTTATCCTTGATTATTCTTTCTTTCAAGGAACCCAATCAAAAGGTTTTCAAGGTTTTTCAAATACACACAAAAACCTATTTCGATTCTAGCATGGGTTCTTGCATAAAAAGGTTTTAAATGATGATTTATATGGTTATTAATGATTATTAATGGTTTTTAGAAAGAAATTCCCATGAACCCATGTCTTCTCAAATTCTCTAAATTTGACCTAAAGTGGGTGTATTGATTTTGTGTAATTGATGGACGATTATTGTGTAGATTGTTGTGGACTGTTCATATATGTATTTATCTAAGTGGAATTGTTAAGAATTGTTAGTGAATTGAAGAATGTGGGATGTTAGCCTTGAATGGACAAAATTATGAATTGGTCTTCATGTTGATTATTGGCTTATGCTTAGCTGAACTTGTATAGTTGAATGTTGTTATTATCATTGTTATTGTATTCTTAATTGTTGGAATATGAGGATGATGAAAATAGCCATGGAAAGAGGGTAAGTTGATCAAACTTGATAAATATTGTATAATTGGAATGGAATTGAGTATTGTGGCTTATGGCCTTTGAAAAGGGTGGTAAGATGGCTTGATCTCTTAGTATTAATATAATTGTTATTGGTTGGTTTGATCCACCTTTGGTGGAGGTGGTTATTTGTTGTATTATTGTGAATTGAGGCCATAAAGGGCATTATGTGAATGTTATTATATTGTTGCATTATTATACACATATGAGGTTATATGTAAAGTCCTATATGAAGCTATATGTAAAGTCCTATATGAAGCTATATGTAAAGTTATATGTGAAGCTATATGTGAAGGTATGATGTGAATGAGTTTTATGTGAAGCTATATGTGAAGGTATGATGTGAATGAGTTTTATATGAAGCTATATGTGAAGGTATGATGTGAATGAGTTTTATGTGATCTTGTGATGATCCTATGTAAAGTGGATAGCATTGTGAGTTAAAGTATGATTTCTCATGATTTATATATGAAATGATGTCGGATTATGAAGTATCCTTAAATGAAAATGTTGTGACTTGGTTGGTAGACTAAAGTGTCCCTCTTTGTTACATAAAGTCTTGAATGCATGAATGTGTGAAGTGGGCTAGAACTAAGAAATGGTGCCCTTTCTATAAATGCTAAAAGAGGAATTCTAGGCCAAGACTTGAATCGGCAAAACTAAGAAATGGTGCCCTTTCATAAGTCTAGCTTTCCTAAGTAAATGTAAAATTATGAAATCGGTAGACCTAATGGTGGTAGCCCTTCTCATGTGTGAAATGATGAACCTTGGACCGGTAGGCTTAAGGCACCCTTAATGAAAAATCGGTAGGCCTAAGGCACCCTTCTAGGGGGATTTAATGAGCTATCCTTAATGAACCTTGATCAGTAGATCCTTGTGGTGCCCTTCTTGGTAGATGTGCTATGGGTCAGTAGACCTAATGATAGTGCCCTCTCTAGCACATACATGTGAATGAAATTACTTTATGGGAACTAAGGTTAAGCACCGAGTGGATATGGTTAAGATGGTAGCTCTCCCGAGTATGAGGCAAGAGTACAATGAACATCTTTGGATATCCCCTAAACCATGTGCCTACATGGGATGTGTCCTAGTTCTACCCTTGGCAAGTAGAACACCTTCCACGGTGTAGGGCTTTATGACACCGGATTCCATGTCTAGCTCGCATGGTCTATGTCGGTTAATGCCTATTCCCATCATGTGGGATGTGCACTCTAGTTATTGGATAGGTTCTACAACGTGTAGGTAGTAGTATGGGATGCTATCTACACATGGCACGAGTAGGCTTTGAAGATACTAAAGTGAGTTCCCTAAGTCTAATGACTATTATGTGAAAGTCCCCTTATGTGCTTGAATGTCTCCAAAATGGTGTCTTAAAGAATGTTGGTCTATTGATGTTATGTTGTGAAGGAAATGTCCTTATCTAAGGTAATCTTGGGTAACACTTAAGTGTGCTTGAAGAGGTTGTATGGGCGGTCACTTCTTGTCTCACTCAAGTGTGTCTTAAGAATATATTAGGTAGAGGTCCTATGGTAATGAAATGACATGTGTTCTTTTAAAGTTAAGCATGGGTTGTATATGGACATATGTTGAGTATATGTATGGCTGGCTATGGTCTTATATATTAATGTTGACTTGTATTATGTCTCTTATACTTGTAAAGGAAAGGTTTTATGAAATGATATGAAAGCATTTACTTCCTTGAAAATGTCCTTTTTGGCATGTTTTTGCATGGTCTCCATATTTAGTACTTAATTGTGCTAACCCCTTTCTTTCCCTTTTTGGACTAAAGTGTAGGGATTTGGAGATGATGACATGTCATGGCTATTTGATAGGTTTCTAAGTGTTGAAGATGAAGACTTGGTGAGTCCTCATATATTCGAGGACAATACCCTATATGTTCTTTTATGTCTTTTTAGTATTGTTTAAGTTGTGTATGGGATTGGTCCCAAATTTTGTACTCTAAAGTATTAGATGGTTTTGAGCATCATGTATAAAGTCTAGAAAGTTTTCCGCTTGCTATATTTTTTTTATGAAATGTTTTCTTGGTAAAGAAAGTTTTAAATTCCTTATGTTTTTTTTTGTGTCTATGCGATGAATGAATGCTAAGAGGCTTGTATTAGACCTCTTCGAGGTCGAGTATGCCGGTTACGACTAGGGGGCGCTCCCGGGTCGTGACATCTACCCACGGGGCATGGATGGATCCACGGACCATACTTGTCACTCGTGGGTTGGGTCTGCAGCCCCTCTTTTGGCCAACTGAAGCCCCCCACTCACGAGACCCCACCCAAGGGTCTTGAGTGGGTCTACAAACCGTGCTACTAAGTCGTCGCTCAGACAAAGATTTTGTAGAATTGGGGGAGGTCTACCCTCGACCCACGACTCCCACCTACGGTGTATGGGTCCACCCACAGCTCGTGGGTGCCCATTTCTTGGGTCAAGGTGTTTTTGGTAGATTTTTGGGCAGCCTCTTGGCCCTCCTCAAGGACCCTTTGGGGGTCCTTGAGGGGGTCATGCCTTGACGTTTAGGTCCTAAAACATTAGTAATAAGTAGGGGAGGTTATTTTACAACTCTTATCTTTACGTTAAACCCCATTTAGGCTACTAGACTACATATTAGGCTCTAGCTTAGTTCATTAGTTTTTTGGATTGTTACATTTTCTCCCCCTTGGGAACATTCGTCCTCGAATGATGATCTAGACACCAAACTAATTTAGAAACTCAACACTTGCAGCCCATCATGAATGAAACATCAAAAATAAGCACAACTTACAAATGCACTATTCAATTCATGCACTATGCAAAAAGAGGAAACTTCAACTCCATCTCAAGACATGGTCAATGCAATACAAGGAAGTATGAACTACATCTACCAGCCCAATTATGCATGAAGTTTAACATTTGTGAATAGGAGGAACTACCTTCTCCAACTAAAAGCAAGCTCAAAACAACAATATGGAGCCAATATGCTATATTATCACAAGCATAACAAAACATGTTCATCAAATTACCTCATGAATTTAAATATTCCATCATTATACTAAAATGCTCAATCATAATGCACAATTAACATGAGGGACATAAAAATCACAAAAACTCATTTCATAGTAAACATGAATTTCATCAAGAACACGCATAACATAAGGAAATCATGGAAAACTCATACAATACACATGACTCCCAAAACACTAAAACTCAAGAGGAACTACTTACCTCAAGCTTGGATAGGAGTAGAAGGAAAATGATTAGGATAGCGGGACTTCATATTAGCCTTGATCAGTCCACAAATTGGACTCATTTAGGGCTATATTTTAATAGAAATTGTGTCCTCAAATGTTTATTTTATCTCAATATGGATGAAAACC